TGAAGAAGATTATCAGAAGCTTTCCATCTAAATGGATGCCTATGGTAACTACACTCAAGCTTGAAAAGGATCTGAAAAACACTTCTCTAGAAGAACTGATAAGTTCTTTAAGAAGTCATGAGATTGAGCTAGAACAAGATGAACCGCAGAAGAAGATAAAATCTATTACGCTCAAGGCCATCAAGAAATATGAGAAGTCCAAATCTCTTCAGGCGGGAGAGATAAAGGATTCAGAAGAGGATATTGATGATGAAGAAGATGTCTTTTGTCTACTATTTAGAAGGGTTAACCGTCTCTAGAAGAGAAGTTAAGGCAACAGGTTTGGAAGTTCAAGAAGGACCGAAGGTCGCTTCAAACCAACTACTGATCAGAGAAAGCCTAGTGGCTACAAAGTCATTTCTTATGAGTGCAATGAGCCAGGACATACAAGAATGATTGTCCTAAGCTTCAAAAAGACATTCCAAAGAAGAAATCTCTCAAGGGAAAAAAGAAAGGGATAATGGCAACATGAGATGATTCAGACTCTTCTAACTACGACTCAGAATATGATCAAGCTAACTTGGCGCTAATGGTTCATGATTGAACATCAAGTGAAGCAATTCCCCCAAAGATGAAAATTAATCAAAAACAGAATGGAATATTATACAAAGAGGTATTCCTAGATCTCACTCTCTCTGAATTAATATATGTCTTAGTTGAAATTCTAGAAAAACATGAGCTTCTCATGATTCAGTTTAGGGATCTCTAAAAAGACACATGAATCTGTATCTGGTGAAATCAGTAAGCTGGAGGAAGAAATTTGTGTTATTAAAAGATGAAAACTTTGCCCTTAAAGGCACAAGAACTCTTCCAGAAGCCTCTGAAAGTTCTGACAATGTCATCAAGAAATATGACAAAGTCTTCTAGAAATTTGTAACTAAAAGCATAGAGAGAAGCTCATTAGCTTCTATGATCTATGGTGTAAGCAAAAATGGATTAGTAAAGTTGAAGAGAAATCTGATTCTAAATCCGACGATGCTCATTTAGATAAACAAAATAATTTCAACACCTGTAAATATGATTATTCCACTACTGTAACCAAAGTTGTTCACAACTCTGGTAGAACTAACAAAAGAGGACCCAAGAAATTATCGGTACCAAAAGTTAAGATTATCTATGTTGTAAACAATCTTAGTAGTGCAAGTGTAACACATGTGTTGGTACCTGAACTCTGGCTGCTTGCAACTCTTGGTGGGAGAAAGACATATGTTCCAAAGCCTGGAACTCAAGTCTGGAAATGTCATGAGTTTTGAAGATAATATAATAAAGAAAAATCATTTACTTCATAAGAATAGATCAATGGACATGAATGCAGATTGCAAAATTTCAAGGACGAGCCATATTCAGTATTCTCCTTAATTTAAGCTCAAAAATTGGAAGTTGATAAGGTAAAGATTTCAATTCAAAAGCTGAAAGATAAAAGAGCTGATTCTGAGGAACATGATCAAATATACTCATGATAATAAAAGAACTTCTGAAGAAAAGCTCATGGCATGGCTACAACAACCTAAGGTTGTAAATGCTTATTATTACCTCCGTCTAAAATTTATTATTTTTATTTTAAGTTGCTTTCTCTTATTAATGGCGTTTAAAGAATAAAATTTATTACGTCTATCAACTAGAATCTAAAGAATTAATAACAGCTAAATGAGTGTCAAAAATTAAAAGGAAATAATGTTAGTCTTAGAAAATTGTCCCTTCTAAGTCATTTAACGATTGATGTGCCTCGAGAGACAATCTTGAAAATAAGTGAGAAAATCTTTCCAATTTTCTCCTTGTCGGACTCTTGGTTTGTTTAAAGCCTTTGTCATTACTTCTTAAAGCAATTTTAGACCCACTCCCATCTCTCCACACTCTCTATCAATCTATTTCCCAAGATTCCTTCTCTCTCAACTCAAACCTCTTGAAAACCCTAAATTTTCTTCAGTTCATATCCGATTATTCTCAACTATGGAATCTCAGCAAGTAAATTATAATCTGAGCTTATCACCATCTGAACGACATCTCAAAGTATTCCTCTCTACTCCCATGAATAATTTGGTAGCCTACGCTGAAGCCTTGGTGGATTTAAAAAATCTTGCCACAAACGATTGCAATCTATAGGATGTTGTTGGTTTTCAAAATCGGGCAAACTACTTTGATCGACTCTACGGGCCAGTCTTTACTGATCTAGTCAAATACTTATGGATACATGTGTATGTCTCTGTTAGTGGACATGTACATTAGAGCGTCCATGGAAAGAAGATCTTCATTACAGAAGAAGACATAGCCATGCTCTATAGTCTTGATAGATCGGGATTTTCTCTGACTAACGTGTCAACAAAGGACTGCAAGAAATCTGGTATAGATAAAGTTATCTATTGAAAAGGGAATAAGGAACCAAAGGAAAAAATTGTGATTCCCAAACTAAGGGTTTGGTTTAGAATCTTTCTGGGTAGCTTTACTCACCGTTGTCCAACAAACTCTCTTGATCATGTCAATTACGTTCAGAAACATCTTCTACATGCCATTCAAACCTCTTAGAAAACCAACCTTCTAGCAATTCTCTTTAACCATCTTAAAACCACTATTTCTGGTTCAAGGGACGGAGGATCCAAAAAGAAGAGAAAAATTCCTTTTGGAAGACTTATTTTTGACATTATTATTAAAAGTCATCTTGTTGACTCTTTGAACACTCAAGATTCAGATGTGATCACAGGAGCCTTCATAAATGGAATCACCCTGAGATATTTTGGTCTGGAAAAGGGAGAAGAAATACAGGAGCCTAAGGAATCAAGTACGTCAAATTTAAAGAAGAGACAAATTCTGGTAATAGGATTCCCAAACTTTATGTTTGACCGATCATCAATGAGGAATGCTAAGCCTCTCATTGCTCCCACTCCAAAAAGAAAAAAAAAAGTAAACTGGATGGAGAATCCAAGGCTGGAGAAGTCTCTGGAGCTCCCAAGAAAACAAGGACCACCAGAAAACATGTTCTGATACTTGAGAGATTAGATAGCTCAGAAACCTCTAAGGTTGGCAGGACATCAAATAGAACTACTGCTAGAGTTAGAGCCTCTAAGATAGACCTAAATGAACATCCATTTGCCTCCAGCCAAGAATATTCAAAAGCATTAGACTCCACTACCTCCGTACCTACAGAGCCATAACTAAATCTAACTTCACTTGAACCCCCATCTCCACACTCACCCTTCATTTCACCTAAGGGAATCAATATCAATTCTCCTCTATCCAATCATTTCTCTCAATCTGCAGAAGGTCTTGTTGATCATCAAATGCTTCCCTATCTGAAGAAGAAATTCTAGAAGCTATTGTTGTGCTTGACATGGATCTGTGTTCACATGCTATTAAACATTTGGTATACTTTTATGAAGCTACCGGCAAAAAACATAGAGCTGCCATCGAACTTTATTTATCCCGAAGGAAGGAGAAATATCAAGAAAACCACAAGAGGATGGATAAGATTGTCTTGCGACCAAGAGAGGGGGTACGGAAGTCAATTATGCGAGGGGAATGTATTATCATCCCTCACATTTGTTGTACTCAACGGGATCCATTTTGATTGTTTGCTTCTAAGGGTGTGTCTACCAATAACTAATCTTTCTAAGGGGAAAGAAATGATTTTTTATTAGTGCGTTCGTGAGGGTATCACAACTCTTTGCCTATGTATCCCGTGAAGGAATCAGAACACCGTAGTTCTTCTAGAAAATGTTGGTTTGTTGGTGTTTTTTAGTGGGCGACGTTAGTGCACACATTCTAGTAATAGGCATGGCCGGTATCGCGTTAGAACGGAGATAACATGCCCTTTTTTATGAGTTCTTTGATTTGTTGAATGTTTGTTAAGTTTGAAATGGGTGTGAATAATGATAAAGTGTTTTTGATTTTTCTTATTAAGAAAAGAAGTTTTGTTTTAATTTACAAAAGAAAAAGTCTAAAGGGGAAAGTCTGTCCTAATATTGTCATGTACAATGATGGACCTAATGTTGAGTGTTAGAAAGGGGAATAATCTAACCTAAGAATGCTATCATGTATGGCTTTGAGTTTAATGTCTAACTCGACATGAAATGATCAAACGGAGTTTAATCATTTAAATGGACTCACCTAAGGGAATATGTTATCAAGATTCAAATAAAAGAAATAAAATTAAATCCTAATTACCTTTATCATGTAGAAATAATTAACAAACTCATGTGTGTGTGGGAGATAGAATCAAATAATTAAAAAGGAATCAAACAACTAAATGATTATTTGCATAAAATTAATTAGCTTAAAATATTTAATAAAACTAATTAAAGAAAACTAGTTAAATTAAATAAAATCGATTAACAAAACTAATTACTATCATCGACTAACAAAATAACCAAATAATAATTAAATAAGCAAATAAAAACGGGTTGAATTGAGTAAAACATGGGGTTGAAAAGAAGAGAATGAGATTGGGCTTATAAAGCAGAAATTAACAAGGCCCGTGTATATAAAAAAAGAACAAGGCAGATTACTCAAAAAAAACATCTTAGGCTTTAAGAAGGACCGGGTCGGGTTAGACCCAGGTCCTGTCAACCTAGCAAAAGATGGAAACAGGTAAAGAACCCTAAAACAAAGTGAGACTAGCGCCTATTTCACAAAATAGAACATAAAAGAAAAAGAAAACTTTGTATTTCCTACAACCGGTTGCACCACGCTTCCCTCTTCTTCACAAATGATCGTTTCTCAGACCATACTCTTATCACCTTCGTCGTGCCTTCCCTTGCACCGTCGATCTTCCTTACAACATCGCCATGAAACAACACCACAAACACGGCTCATCACCTCTAGATTTCCTTCTACTCCATTAATCTCACCATGTTTCTCTCGCGTCTGATTCGCATGCTCACCACGGTCTCAACTAATGCGCTTCAACCTACATAGAGGAAAGGGGTTTAAGTGATTACCTGACAGAGAAGTTCGATGCCTCTTCAAGCATGGTGATAGTGACGCTGAAATCCAGAGATACTGTGAAGTTCCAGGTATACGTATCTTGTGATTATTCTATGAAATATCTTTATCTTCCTCTTAATCTTCCTATATGAATTGTGTTGTTGTGTTGTAGTTCTTTCATGTGTTACGTTTTAAGTGTGGTGTGCTACGAACCATAAGGTTGTGAGTGATCACGGATTTTCTTGTGAAGGTGAGTGAGTTATTATTGGTTGTTTAGTGTGTAAGGTCATGCAGGTTGGTTGAAGCGTGTAAGGTTTGTTTAAGTGAATCGATGGTCTGTCAATGGTGAGAACATGGGAGGAAAGTGTTGCAGAGTGAGATACGGTTTGATGGAAATGTTGCAACAGGTTTAAGGATGGTTTGTGAGAGTATGATACATAGTGAATATGGTGCAGGGTTTATGGTGAGTATAAATTAGAGGTGAATGTGAAGATTTGATTATGCAAGGTGTTTGATGTGACTAAGTTTTAACAGGTTGTGGATTTGAGCAGTGGTAAGGTGAGTATTGTTTGTAGTAGAAGGGTGGTCATAATATGGTGTTTGGTTATGGTGATGGAGATTTGGACAAAAGTTTTATGTAAGATTATTTATGTTTTATGAAACTTTTTTGTGTGATTTTTTATCTAATTTATTCTTTGTATCTTGTGTGTAATTTTCTGCTTATTGTTGGTGTCCGATTGCCTGTTTTTATATCGAATGAAAATGAGGTTTTGGGGGGATTTGAACAAGTTTGAACAAATATAGTATGCGGTTTTTGTGGCTTTTTATTGCAGTTTTTGTTTTAATGTTGTAGCAGGTTGGACAACAGCATTTGGACCCTTTTTATAGCTTATTATCTCAGGTTCTGGACAAGCTTATGCACAGGTTATGCAAGGTTGGGTTTGGATTGTTGTGGGCATCATAGAAGTGCTTTAGGCTTTCTAAGATGAAGATTTTGCAGGCCTGTGGAGCAGCATTGTAACAGGATTTTAGACTGGTTAGGCAGTGTGGCATAGCAGTGCAGCAGTGTAGGCTGGTGGACTTGTGTAGGTTTTGGCTTGTTGTGAAAGTAGCTTGGTTTTTGCAGGGATAGAGGCTGGTTTTGCAGGTTGTTTTGGACTATTTTGTAGTGCTTTTTTTATGCAGGTTTGGAACAGATTTTGCAGGGCTGGACAAGTTTGGGAGCAACACGTTGGATTATTGTGTTTGGAGTTTTATGGACAGCAAAATGAAGTTTTATGCATGCTATTTTTTGCAGTTTTGGACAGCAGATTTGGACTGTTAATGTAGGATACTTGAAGGAAAAGAAACTTTGGTCTTGAAGAGGCATCGGTTTTGTAAAATTGTTAAGGCTTTAGGGCATTAGATTTCTTTGAACAAAACTAGTGTAATTGTTTCCAAATATGGGTTAATCTTTGTAATGACATGTAATGAATCTTGATGACAAAGTGAATATGCTATGTATGAATCTTGAATGAGTGAAGAACAACTTTAATCATTTGAAACTTGAATCCTTGTATTTTCTTGATGAAATTTGGAATTAAAGCTTGAAATTTGAATCAACTCGAATCTTCTTTTAACTTGCAATTTTCAAACTCATGAAAGTGAGAAATTCTCTTCATTTTTTATCTTGAAATTGAATGAACTTCCCACTTGAAAAACATTTGGAATCCTTTATTAACTTTAAAATATTCAAACTCAACACTTCATGATGAATGATCTCACCATAAGAAATAATGCCTTGAGGAAACAATTATGACATGAATCGAAATTAGAGGTTAAGAACATTTTAATCCAAAAGTGCCCTATAATGTTTCAATCAAATGCGTGGCCTTATAAGCACAATTAAGTCTTGATCCTTGAAGAGAACTTAAAGACGACATCACTCATGACAATGTGCAAAACGAATCGCCTCAAAATGTCGAGAATCGAAGAAGTTATGATCCTTAGAAGTTGGGCACAACTATTTTGAGATTAGGTCAAATTCCATATAATGACCTCTAAAGTATTCAAATTTTCGACGATCTTCTACACATAATTAACTCTTGACTTGTAAAGTGAAATTCGAGATGACGTCAAGGAGAGTCATACACAAAAAGAACCACTTAAAAATATTGAATAATGAAGAATTACGATCGTTTAAGCTTGATCTTGAAAATGTTGAATTTCAGTTAAAGTGTTTTGAATTGACTTGCAAATTTGATCTTTCCTTGCATTTAAAGACATATTGATGCCCATGTGAACTAGTGACGATGAAGTTTTGACTGTGCTCTTGAGATTATAGGCCAAAATTTGATGAAGTAGCCTTTGAGAATCGATGATTCACCATATTTGAACATTTGAGGGATCCAAAACCCTAATTATGGCGCAACTCCTGATACTCTTCATTAGTAGTCACACATAGGGAAATAAACCCTAATCCAAGATCTTGGTGAATTTGAATGAGAAAAGGCCTTGTACATGGATGAATAAGAAACTCATGATAACCATACTTCAAAACCTGATTCCATTGTCCACTTCTCAAGGAGGAGCCAAGGAAATAAATTATAGAATGTAGAAGCCTCAAACTAAAATTAAACCCCGGATGGCACAACCGCTGATGCTTTGAACCACTGCCTTATATGTGTGAATGTTCTGATTAAAATGATGCAAATGAAATGCAAAGCCTAAGCCAGATAAAAGTGAAATAGGTAAGACAAATTTGGGGTATGACAGTTGCTCCTATTTAATCGTCTTAAACTTGAAAGTCAGATTGGCGCCAGCCTTTCGATCATTTAAGGTAGAAGAATATTAAATACTAAGACTTGAAATTTGTCCTGGAGAGATGGTGTGAGTGTTATTGATTTGTGATGTATGCTGGGAATATAAAATGAATTTTCTGGTGAACTAGTCATGATGGATAAATGTAGTTGAGTAATGATAGCTTGTAACGGGGTAACGGTGCCAATACAAGGTTCTCGGGGAAGTGGGTGTTAAAGTGATTGAAAAGATATGGTTGATGATGTTGTAGTGACTGAAAGTAGGATCAATGAAAACACAATAACTCAAAGACAATGGGTAAACTCGACGATATCGGGGAATCTATCATGTGGGATTCACGACTCAAAAAGAAAGGTAAAGACAATAGGTAAAGATCAACGTATAATCTATGACCCACGAGAAAGGTAAAGATGATGGGTAAAATCCACGCCAGCGGAGGATCTATCATGTAGGTATCACGACCCAAAAAGAAAGGTAAAGACAACGGGTACAGATAGGCGTATGATTTATGACCCAAGAGAAGATAACATGAGGGTAAGATCTATGGACGACCTACGACCAAGAAAAGATAAAATGAGCGTAAGACCAACAAACGACCTACGGCCCAAGAAAAGATAACATGAGGGTAAGACCTACTGGCGACCTATGACCCAAGAAAGGATAACATAAGGGTAAGACCTACGGATTACCTACTACCCAAGAAAAGATAACACGAGGGTAATATCTACGGACGACCTACAACCCAAGAAAAGATAACACGAGGGTAAGACCTACGGATGACCTACGACCCAAGAAAAGATAAAATGAGGGTAAGACCTATGGGCGACCTACGACCCAAGAAAAGATAACACAAGGGTAAGACCTACGGATGACCTACGACCCAAGAAAAGATAACATTAGGGTAAGACTTACGGACGACCTACGACCTAAGAAAAGATGACATAAGGGTAAGACCTACGACCCTTTAAAAGATAACATGAGGGTAAGACCTACGGGCGACCTACAACCCATGAAAAGATAACATGAGGGTAAGACCTAAGGGCGACCTACGACTCAAGAAAAGATAGCATGAGGGTAAGACCTACGGACGACCTACGACCCAAGAAAAGATAACATGAGGGTAAGATCTATGGACGACCTACGACCCAGGAAAAGATAACATGAGGGTATGACCTACAGACGACCTACTACCCAAGAAAAGATAACATGAGGGTAAGATCTATGGATGACCCACGACCCAGAAAAAGATAACATGAGGGTAAGACCTACGGACGACCTACGATCCAAGAAGAGAATGACGAAGGATGTTGAGAGTTAAGAGCACAACGTACTGGCCCCATGGCTTATTTTGGTTAGTAGTGTAATGACGGGTGTTAATTGGGAATTATGAGGATGGTATTCTCTGTGGGGATGTTTTACTGTTTTGAGGATTGATTTGGGGCTTTCCTGCAAGGTACTAAATTTGACTTATGCTTCATATGCATTTTGAAGTGTATGGCGTAATGATCCATTTCAATAGATATGCTATGCATTTGAGGATGCAATGTAATATGCAGTGATGATTACTATATGTATAGTGCAAGATATTAGGCTCATTGGGGTTTGTTGCCTGTTGTCTTGAGATACCAATACGGATTGGTGCTTAAAAACTCGAGAATTGAGTGATAGCCTTGTTAGGGATTGGATTATAGTCTTGCTGGGGAGAATTAGCTTGATCTGACTTTCCCTACATGTTGGACCTCTTGTGGATGACTGGGTAGAGGCATGGATCTCATAAAATTCCCCCAAGTTTTCTTTATTGGTGGGGAGAAAATGGCTCGGTCTGACTTTCCTTACTCCACGAACCACTTCGGGGACTAGGAAATAGACATGAGAATATTCAGATGCCCCGAGTTCACTTCATCGCTGGGGCGTTGCGTGCTTGAACATCGGCATGGAATGATGATGATTTTGAGGATGTTAATTGAGCCAAAGTGACCGTCATGATGCTTTTGTCTGATCATATTTGTACGGATGACAGGAATTTTCTTGAGCAGCTTCACAAGAGGGGATGAGAAATGCCCCTGTCTGTAATAATCTCTAAGAGCACATTCTTTAAGTAGAAGGCTGGAAAATTCATGTCATAATACGACACAAGGAGGCATGCCCCAATATCTTAGGCCACAACATAAACTGCCTCTGATCATGGACTCTTGGAGAGATTTATCGAATCTCGACGTAACACCAATATTTAATTAATTATTTAATTAAATATTTTCGAATATTTTTTCGATTTAATTGTCGAAGTTGTGAAATGTTGATTTAAGTTGTGTCGTTCTTAGTTGAATTAATTAGTTGATTAAGTTGTATGACTAATATTGAGTAATACTATTATTATTTATGTGGGCTTATGTTAATGTTAGAAGTAGTAGAAAGGGAGGTGTAAAAATTTAAGCCCAATAAAACAAAATAAGAATAATAGAATGATAATATTATTATATTAGTTATTTTAGAAATAATAGGAAGTAGAAGTATCAGTAAGAGAATAAGAATAGATTTTGGCAGAAGAAGAGGAAATAAGGGTTTTGGAAGCGATACATAGAAGTGCAATCGGAGAGTTAGAGCAATCTTCAATCTAAGGTAAGGGTGGAGTTCTGACTCTATAATAGGGTATGTGATGAATGGTATATGAGATTGGGTTGTAAAATTGTTTCTGTTTGTGTTTAAAATTGATAGATTGGTACAATTGAGGGATAAATTGAGAATCCATTTTTAAAATATATATTGATATTGTAGCGGTATCACATTTCATGAAGTGAGTTCTAAGATGAGTAGGAGTTATGATACTATAGCGGTATCACATTTCACATTGTATCGGAACTTACTTTTTATTAAAAAATCTCGTACATGTTTCTAAGATGAGCGGAGTTCTCATACTTGAAGTGAGTATGATTTAACTGGGATAATTAGATAATTGAAAATTCATATTATTGTAGCTTGACATTTTATTCATTTACATATTGTTTCATAGTTAGTGATATATGTATATATAATTAGTTAGTAATAATAATAATTATTATAATAATAATAATAAGTAAGTATTATTAGTAAACCAATTTTGTAGAAGTTATGAATTAGAGATAAATATTTGGATAAATAGTAAATTTGGGTTAATTTATATTCTAATAGAGTTGTTAGAACTATCAATAGAGTTGTCAATAGGGTTGTTAGAGTTGTCAATAGTATTGTTAAAGTTATCAATAGAGTTTTTTCGTATCATTAAAAGTCACTTTTATTTGTTTTGCGTAATTCTGACATGTCGTAGTTCTTACTGTAACACGGCACATTTAGAGTTGATTTGAGAATAGAGACCTGTAGTTACTGTGTGGCCATATTTTAATGGATATGATATAACTTAGTGGTGCATATCAATTTGATAACATGTAACAAAAACATATAGTCTAGCTTAATGGTCCTTAGAAACTAAATAATTTATGAACCTAAGTTCTACTGTATATTGAAGTGTGAAACTATAATCATAGACTA